ATATAGGTATCTGGGAATTCTTTTGTCCCTTCCGCACTTCTCACTGTAGAAGCACAGGAATAGAGACAATGCTGCTTCTAGCTTTTTTCAGGCTCTGGGGATTCTAACACACACCAAGACCTCACTGAGCTATGTCCTAGACCTTTGATGTGTCTGGTTTCCAAGAGGACTTGCAAAGATGGTGCTATTTCCTTGTCGGCTTAGTATGGTGTTTTTGAATATTTTCTCCTTTGATTTTCTGTATCTTAATAAAAATTAGGATGGAGAGGGCATATTAATCAATAAAATAAAAAAAACCTCAAAATATCAAAAACCTTATAACTAATTAGTCAATCAATCCTCTTTAAGTTGGCAGCTCATAACCCTGAGTAGCTCCAGTTCCAGGGGCCTAAAACCCTACTCTGATCTCTGAGGGCAAGCACAGGCATACATGTGGACAAAAGACCTATACACATAAAATTAACATTAATGTACTATTCCATGTAGCAATTGTACATTAAATGTCAAGGTATTGAAGAGGGTTAAAGAAGAGAACAAACTGTAGGAGCACAGACGTGGCGTGAAACAGAAGAAAGACTGTAGATTAGGCCAGGAATAGCTTCAGCATTTAAAGTATGTAATGAGTGTTTATGCCATGAGTTTGTAACTTGTAGCTGTGCTCTTTTCCATTTTGGTCTCTGTCACTCATGCATATGAGGTTTGAGGTAGACCAAAGAGAATTTTGGGTAAACTATGTATCAAGTTTCATTGTCCTTTTATTGCAGAATTTGGTTTCTTTGGATTGATTTTGGTGAGAGAAATGAAGGCATAGCAAGCAGTCCCTGTTACTGTCTCTCTGAGGGGATTTCAAATGAGCTGATGGCTCTGGGTATGAATGAGAAGGAGGTGCAAGACCTGCCTTGTTGGATTTGATTTGGATTTCTAGGTGATCTTGTCATTTTTCTGTCCTTTTGCTCTCATTTTTAAACAGTAAAACATGCCAATTCCACAGTGAACATTGGCTTCATTTCCTCCTGGATGAAAATTAAAAACAAGGAGGAGTTGGTGGTACTATCTGAATGTCATCTAGCTTGAATTTCTAATGCTAACTTCCTCCAGATATGATTCTCCCCACCTCCTGCACTAAGCAGGATCTTTCCCCAAAGGCGGAAGTCTTGTTAATACATTCTTTCATGGCTCCTGACCTTTTCTCTGTGATGTCATTCCTCAGACCTGTATCCAATCAGCTCACTTCTGTTTGTTGGAGAATCATAGTATCAATAAAAGAGGATATTCATGGAGAGTTTAGCATGATACTAAATACAGAAGTTCACTCTAGGCATAAGAAAATCCGGTCCTGGGACACCGGGGGCTTATTTTGCAGGTACTATCCATTTCATTGGTATTGTCATTAAAATTAGGTGTACTTGGGAAGGTTCTGAGTAAAGGATAATCTATTGTAAAGCCCAAAAATAATTATTGATATCATCCAGGGACATGATTTTAGAAGCACATTCATAAAATTCTTCGGTTACAATTCTAATGTATTTATGGAGTAAAATATTTCTTACCTATCTGGTGTGTTTAGTATTAAATTTAATGATATCTAAATGTTAAATATACCTGGAAAGACATCTTTGTTAGTACCACAGATTTATAGACACTGATGACTTCATAATCTACATGCCAGTTCCTTCACTTCTGATAAACTGCAGATTTAGTAATTCTAAAGGGCTAGAACCCAACTTGCAATGAAAAAAAGTAAAATTTTAAACTAAATTTTTGTAAGAAAAATGACTATAAAATAAGAAAGATGTATAGTATTTGATGAACTACTAGAAATATCATTCAGTCTCATTATAGAGATGTCTGTGTGGCTGCCAGTGTACATGCAGACATAATAGAAATATAGTTCCTCTACTATATTTGAAGACTTATTTTATTTTACTAAGAACTTGAAAAGGAATTTTATTTCATCACTTTCGTTTTAGAGTCTACAAAAATGTCAGAATGGTTTTCTGTTTCTTGCCGGAGGAAGTGTATCACTAGGGGCAACTTTGAGAGCTGTCTGCTACTTCTGTTAACTCTTGCTGCATTATGTTTGTAGATGAAGATGAATTTCTGTTTCCTCCTCCATCTGTCTGCTGTCTACTCCCCCAGCGTTATGTACTTTCCCCTTGAACCGTGAGCCTAACTAAACTCTTCTATAAGTTGCTTCTGGTAATGATTGTTTATCACAAGAACAGATGAAATGACACAAATCCCAGCGTGTGCCACTTTCAAAGCATAGACTCCAAGTCCCTGTCCACCTCAATAAAGTGGGACACCAGTGCAGGATAAACTTCTATCACAGACACAGGGACAACTGCTGAAGTTATATGATTCCATTTGAATAGATAAGCTTTAATTCAAAACATTAAATGAAATTAGATTCACAAAACTAAAGTTTAAAATGAAATTAGACATGACTTCATCATGCACATGTTGCTTTTTGTTTGTCTTGTTAGCAGTTTTTGTAGCAAAGGTATTCATGAAAATGAAGAAATTGAATGCTCACTGAAGAAAGGGATAAGCTGAATAATATTTAGCATATTATTGTATACAGAGATGCAAGCATTTTAGTTAATATTACAAGGTCCACTATAATAAAGTTAAGCAATAATAAAAGGTAAGCGACTTAGTAAATATATACACACTGTTTATGTTATATAATACAAATATAAAACTCACAAAACATCACCAGAAAATCAGTAATCTAATAAAATTCTTAAACAATGATAGCGAGCATGTAAGAGTATATGTAAAACAATTAGGAAAGCCATAATGAATTTAGTATGAAGACTGTTTCCTAGTTAAATCATTTTTTAGCAGAAGTTTTCAGGTTCCTCTAGAGTAACCTTAATATCACCATTTAGTGTAAAATTTGATCTATTATCAAAACGCATTTAGTAGTCTCCCTTTTCAATCATAAAGGCTTAAACTGCATTCTTGAAGATTTATTTATAAAACCGATTGTTCTTTTACTATCTAGTTGGAGCAATGCTAATAACAAATTATTGCCTATAACATATAAAAAGTATTAGAAAACTAACAAATAAAAATTAAACACAGGTTTATTAAATAAAAATTTCTTGAAATTTTAGAGTTCACTTCATTGAAAATCCTTAGTAGGTGATAGTACAAACCAAGATGTTTCAATGCACCCAGGTTCACAACTTTCTCTTTGTACTCAAACTTTTACATATTTAATGTAGATTTAAATTTGTCTACAGTTCTTGAGTTGAGCAATATTCTCACCATGCTTTGTTTCTGGGCTTTATTCCAATTTTTAAATTTGTTCACAAAATTTCCCACCCACTTTGTACCCTGCCCCGGTGCTAAAATTGCTGCAATACATTACAGATCACATTTCTTAGACATATTTTTACACCTTCTTAATGAAAACAAACAAAAAGTCTATTTTCAACTTTTACGTACAATATTTTCCCATTCGACTACTAATTACCTTAGAAGTGAGTAGTAAGTTAAAATTAGTCTAAATCCTAATATTTTCCAAGCCACTCAAATCTGACTAAAAGTAATGTAAATCCTAGTCTTTTTTAAGCTACCTAAATTATTCTATATATTAGGAGGTTGGGAAGCTAGGTTGTCACCAGTGTGACCTCACTTGTTTTCTATGCTCCAAATTTTATCTTGGCCCATTGCCACTAGAAATTAAAAACTGTATTTCTTATCTCAATGAAATTAGACTTTCATGAACATAAATATTGATCATGTATTCTGGGAAGTCTCTCTCAAATAATCAAAATCAGATGTGAAGAGCATAATTTTTCTGGTCTTGCCTTTCTTCTTTATAGTAAACTGTAAGATCAGTTCTGATGAGTCGAACTTCAGTAGAAGCCACAGTGAGACATTGCTAGTCATTGATAGATAAGGGTGCTAAATCCACAACTGCACAAATCTAACATGACAGACAAGACAGTCACAGTAACTTCTGTTTCAAATGAGAAATGACATCCTTTAGTGTGAAAAACATGAAATTTTAGTATTGTATTACTTTAAGTCCAGTGCAATCCCCAACTAACAGGGAGATATTATAAAGACATAAAGGAACAAAAATAGCTAAAAGTGCAATTACCTTTTTGTGCCTCCATGTCATACTAAAGAAGAAAAACATGTGACACTATTTGTTTTTGTATCTTATTACCTATTCTTCATTTGAGTGTTTAAAAGAAATAAAAATAAAAACCTAATGAGAAACCATGAAAGTAGGTTAACATGAAGATATTGTGTTTTGGCAATCTTCTTTCCAGATTGGTATCTTAAATTTTGGCTTCAGAGCCCCAGAAACTATTTCTAATTTTATTAGGTTTTCATTATCCTTTTTTCATTTAATATTGCTCTATGCATTTACTTTTCTCATGTGGTCTCAATTGCTATTACTTCCAAGAACATCATTTGATTTTCTTTTTTATTTCATTTTAGATTTCCTGAATGAGTTCTTCAAGTATGAGTCTCGAAAATGTTTATGGTTTGAAGTCAAAACCTGCATGTGTATCACTAAAACGAATGATTCTTCTACCCTATATCTTTCACAATGTTAAGAAGTTTTTGAAGCACTCACCTTATTCATGAACCTATCTGCTGATACAGCCTCCTCAATGTGTTTCTGTTAAAGTGGCCTCCACATTGAGTATCTCTACTACTGTCTTCTCTAAGTGAGAAGCTTGAAGTTCAACTATTTCTCTCCCATCTATTACTCTATAATCTCTTGATTGTACCATATAAATGAAGGCTGGCCATACTGCTTCCAATCTATTTAACAGCCACTTGAACTGTTTCATTCATCATTAGGACAGCCTATGTCATATTTGCATTGGTCAGTCTCCATTTCAATGCCAATATAACAATTCAAAAAGAAACTGAAAGAAAAATGGTGTGAGATAATGTTTGTTGTTTGTGAATGTGCTATAGACCAAAGCTTAGCCTCTGCCATGCTGAGAGTGTCCACTACAGCTTACCTTCAGTGTGATGCTCCAGATCCTAACTGATATGGAACTCCACAAATGTACTGTATCCTTTCATGATGTGTGAATACTGTTCTGGCTTCTGCTTAAAAACTTTAGTCAATTCTCTTGAAGAGTCAGTGGTTTTTCTTTGCTTTAGCACCATAAATTCTAGGGGAGTAAAATATTATTATATACACAGTATGGCCTATGAGTCTGTGATTTTTTCCTTCCATACTAGACTTGAAAAACCATACGGACAGAGGTGCATTTAAATTATATTTTCCTAAAATTCTAAAGAAGATGCTGAACTTGTTAAAAGACAGATTTCTGTCTTTTCATTTACTAGTGATTAAATGGAAATGAATATAATCAATTGCTCTGGTCCTGCTGCAGCACTGGCTCAGATCCTGAGAAATGGATGGGGTGTCAGCTCCAAGAAAAGAATTGTTGGACCACTACATGAGTTCACAAGAGTGGCCAGACACAAATAGCACCATAGCTATCTTTATTCATACATCAAAACAATCTGTTTTCCTCTATTAACAAACAAGTTTTTTTCCACCCTCCTATGTTCAAATCCAGCAAAAACAAATAGGTCAAATATTTTTCCCCATCTTTATACCAAAAACAACACATCATTTTGCTAGTTTGGCCAAATATGGAGCCAGGTACATCCTTTCTTTACAAAACTAGAGGGGATAAACATAGGTACACATTTTCAGGAACAACAATACTGTTCAAAGCATGTTTACAGAAATAGGGGTGATCTTCTTTTGACACTGTCAGCACTGAATCAGGGCAGCTCCCAGGGTCTGGAGTGCCAGCTGACATCTCCAGATCAGAAACCTGAGAAACATAAGCTCCTAAAGACTTTTAGGGGAAAGTATTGGAGAAAAAAACAGGGTTTCCAGGAATGATCACAGCTGTCCCATGCATGTTTGACAAAGTGACACTAAAAACCTCCAAAAGAATCATCAATATTGTGAGAGAGAAGAGAGCATGAAGGTCACACAGTCCCAGCAATTCTGCAAGGTCCCAAAGTCCACTAGTCCTGAGTGAACTGTCCTGTGGCTTTTGCCTCATCTCGAGACCCATTGGACAAGCACTCATATAGTCCTATAAAACTAGACCAAACATTTCTCAATAGTCAGTCTTTTTGATTTGTAAGATAGGCAGTCTACAATGGCATCTGAGAACATGACATTTCTTTTATACTTGATTTTAGAAAAATTTTACTGAACAATTAAAACACAAATTTGGTGATGTACTGCAACTTTTGAATGGATCTAGAACTATATGTAGGCTTTAAAAGACAAATTCAGTTACTTGCCCTGTTTTAATGACTGGGATTTCACCCTCTTCTCCTGAGACAGGTGCATCAGACAGTTGCTCCCACAGGATCAACGTTTATGATTAATAGGGCATTTGACTGTCCATACAATTTTAAACTGTTCTTTTCATCTCAGTTTCAAAGTTTGAAGAGGCTGGCCTGTCACTGTCACTTTAGTCTGCACTGATTGCATTGCTTCTGAAAGACTACATTTCCAGCTTTGAAGTTCAGAGTCCTGATTTAGACAAAGAAGAGGATAAGGGAAACAGCTTCAGTGGGGTTTTCTTTTACAGAGCAACCTGACCTGATTTGAAGTTGAGTGATTGTAGAAGTTAATTGTCAGTCTCTGTTAGTACCAGATGGATGCCTAGGCACTGTCTCCCTAAAGGAGGATGGAACAAAAACTTCAAAAAAGACTGATAATACTTACCCATAGTTATTTCTTCAATCAAACTCAGCATCAAGAATTGATTCTTAACAGAAAAGAAAAATCAGACCATTATCACATCTTGATTCACCCACTTTCAGAGGAATCTGGTCTTTCACACAGTACTTTCCTCAGGTCCTGCTGCCATCTCCTCTCTGAAGAGCAACTGTGACATCACAGTGGAATTGATCTAGAAGTCAGACATCAGAACAGGCTGTGATACTATAACAAGCAACATTGTCACATGCCTTTCAAGAAAACAACCTGTTTTCTAACTATATTTCTTTTCTTTATAAAAATACCACTAATATGTAAGAATTTTAGGTTTCTCCTATACAAACTTTATATATATGTATATATATACATACATGCATATATAAAAATAATACATATGTAGAGAGAGAAAGAGAGGAGAGAGAGAGAGAGAGAGAGAGAGAGAGAAAGAGAAGGGAGAGAGAGTTCTAGACTCCATACAAGCAATTCTGTATTTAACAACTCTGCATAATGTATAACATCTGAGGCTGTATATTTCTGTCCCCATAATGTTGCTGTTTCTACAGGGATGATTCTCAGACACTCTTTTATCTTCAAAGTTCTTCATGCTGGTGCAAATCTCTCTTTAACAGAGTGTGGTTTTCACTATAATTTTCATACGATGGCATGTATTTACCCTGTAAGGAGATAATGAACATTTTTCTAAACAAGTTAATCTTAGATTTAGAAGAACTGATGGAATTTTCTCAGGCTTAAATCTTCAGATAATTTTGACAATTTATTAAAGGCAGTTGTGTGTTTACACATCAATGTAGAGGACTGAAAATCACAGGCACACTGAAATTTGTTTATGATGGGCCAATTTTAAAATAGATTTAAGTATTTGTGCATTTGTTTAGAAAAATACATTTTATCATATGTTGACAAAATTGTCTCATTTTAAATAGACATTTTCCTACTGTTTTGGCAAGTTAGAAATATATTTAGTGTTTGAATGTCCAGTTATTAAATCTTGAATGGATTATCTAGCAAACATATTTAAAAGTGCTGTTGTTTGAAACAGACTAATTAGCTGTACCTCAGCACATTGCATCTGGACCATAGTGATTTTAATAGCTTTTGGTAAAATGACAAATTAAGATTATCTGTATATGCAAATTCCAAGATGCACCCTCATATATTTTATGAAAGCACTTTTCATATTAAATGTTTATACAACCATACATACAGAGTCATATCCAGACATGCCTACTCATATATGTTGGTATATAGGTATACATTATTGAATTCAGGCATATAACATCTAATATAAAATGGCCACATGTCTTATAATCAGTTAATTTTCTGGGCATAAACATATCACATAAAACATTAAAACACAGGACACTTGCTGGCACATGATTTAATATGTAACTTGATTACATTTAACCATTAAGATGGGCAAATAACAGAGTAAGAAGTCGTTGGATGCTCTATATAAATTTCTTTAGGAGAATGTGTAGGGGCATTTAACCATACAGGACAGGGAATTTCTACTGCCTAGGTAGTTTCTTCTTTGCATCATTATTATGTTTTAACTTTGTTTGAAAGGGCATGCTATCTTTTGCTGGTACGACTGAGAAGTGTTCTGTCTGTAGGTGGAACATGGGCAGGATTAAACCTGTCTCAAGTATGTAAGTTCTGGGAATACCAAGTAGAAGAGAAGATGTGGCAGAGACATTATGTATCTACAGAAATAATAGGAGTTGCTTGTTTGATTAAAAAAGTCAGTTTTTCTTCAGTGGTGGTGGTGGCACATGCCTTTAATTGAAGCCCTTGGGAAGTTCAAGGCCAGTCTGGTTTACCAAGCAAATTACAAGACAATCAGGGCTATACAGAGAAACCCTATCTCAAACTACTCACCCCCCCAAAAATGCAATTTGATAATAGATCAGAGGGTGAGAGGAGGAAAAAAGGGAGACCTCATTTGGGGTTGAGCTAACTCCTAGGGGCATTTTTTCCCTTTGGCTGTAGTAGTGAACCCCACAAAGCTATCCGCCCAACAGGGCAGGGACAAGGTAGAGATAAAAGGAAGTGAAAGGAAAAGGGGGCTTCCCTTTTCTCCTGGAAGCCAGCCATGCTTCTAACTCTTGGTCTGTGTGACTCTCTCTCTATCTCTCTCTCTCTGGTAAATTGTTTTCCCTATATAGTATCGAACATATGTAAACAGTAAGAAAGTATCAGTGTTACTGTTCCAGAGGGAGCGAACATTTAATACTTGCTTTGATTGAGCCAGGAGTGGAAATTGCAGGTGGAGACACTATTGATATTTCTTTGAGAATGTGGATTCTGGGAAGGGAAAGCTCTGGAGATGGGTGCCTGCACACAGAGAGATGGAGAGCTGCTATGTGATAGGTACCAGTGTTAGCCCAGGGAAAGAAGTAGGAAATGTGGACATTCTAGTAGAAAAGTTCATACTCTGGTTTCTCTTCAGATCATATAAAAGCTCTTAGAAGGAAGAAAAGTAGCCATAAACCACCCCATATCAGAAGAGAAAGATAAGCCAAGTGCCACCATCCTGGGCAAATGGGGACTGCTGTGAGCTTAGCAGAGCAAGGTGTCTGGCTAGGAAGAGGCTGCGTTATTTTATGCAGAGAAAGGCTGCAGGCTTATAGCTGCTGGGAAATGAGGCTTTTGAAAGGAATAAGATTGTTTGTGTTATAATAGGATTTAGAAAACAACATAAGCTTGGCAGAATACAAAGTGGCCCTAATTTAGGGCCCTCTACTCACTTGGTGTTTCTTTGTGTAAAACTGCCCAAGTTCCTAAGAACTTGGTGAAAATATTAGGTGTGGTGATCAAGCATGTAGAAAGCAGTAAGAGCAGCAGTTGACCTTGTGTCTCTTGATTTCCTTCTAGATGTGTAACAAGTTTCACAAACCATAAGTTGGGCATGATTAATGACCTTGAAACTGCTGTAGGACAATAGGGTCTAACACAAACCTGTGTAAGATACCTGACTCAGTGATAACTCTTGTCTGGTCTGGAGATGACAGGCAGGCTGATAGCCTGAGAAACTCTTCAAATGAGGCTGCTGTCGAGGGTAAATACCACTGCAAAGTTCAAAGGGCCTTAAAGGTCAATCTCTCTCAAGGAAACACTCATCCACGTCCTGGCAAGTGAGAAGGTTGAATTTGAGGATCAATGGGATATGAAGGCAGATTATTTTTTAGATGAAAGAGGTATTATGCAAGTCACTTACTGTACTATAGGCACATCGAAGGTAGAAGGAGTTCTAAAGAGACTTCAGGCTTAGAATGGTAAATTTGCATCTCCTCATACAGGTTTCAAAACTATGGAGATGTCTCAAGCCACATAGTTGATAAGTAGCTCAGAGTACGCATTTGTAATCAAGCTGCCTCTGAGCCAAGAGGTAGTGGCGCACGCCTTTAATCCCAGCACTCGGGAGGCAGAGGCAGGCAGATCTCTGTGAGTTCGAGGCCGGGCTGGACCGACAGCCTCCAAAACAATACAGAGAAACCCTGTCTCGTGAAAACAAAAAATAAAAAAATCAACCTGCCTCTGATATCTAGGTGATAAAGGAAGATCTTTTTGTTAGTGTGTAGCCACAGGTTCTCAGTAAACTTTCTTTGTGGAAGAGAGGATTGTAGAATTACAGGAAAACTGTTTTGGTAAGGGACTAAAGCAGTGGAAACTATAGAGTCAGCTATAAGGGTAAAGAAAGAAAGAGGCTGTTGCAGGTGTGTGTGTTTGTGTCATGTGCAGCTCATAGCCCAACACTCACAACGGAAACATGTAAAGATTTTTCCAAACAAATGTTCTAGTTGCTTCGGAAATATTACCAAGAACTGACAAATGGAATTAGATAAAATTTAAAAAATGGTAAGGAGCAAGGGAATCAAGGGTCTGAGTAAAAGGCATCACGTAGAAGAGTAGAGAACTTTGGTTAGATGTACATTTGATATAATTAAAATTCACAACATATAAAGAAATTTTTAAATTTAACATAAAACCAGACAGCTCAATTAATAAATGGGCTAATGAAATAAAAAGACATTTCTTAAAAGATGAAACACAGATGACCAATGAATATATGAAAAAAATATTCAACAGGAAAACATATTAGAACTATATTAAGATTTAATTTTTCTCTCTAGCTAGAATAACCATCATGAATAAGAGAAGCAGTAAATACTGGGAAGATTGTATGGCAGAGGAAATGCTCATTAATCACTGACAGGATGGTCTAACCACTATGAAAATCTGTTCCAAATGTAGGGCTTCCATATAAGTAAATGGGTTTGTACCCAAGGGACTCTAAGGCAACAATATCACAAAGATGTCTGAAATTTATTTTTATTTTAGCATTGTTTTCAACAGCCAAGTTTTGACATTATTAAAGCTATATTTCAATAGATAGGTAGATAGTCAAAATTCTTTAGATTAAAATAGAGTAGTATTTAGTCATAAAGAATGGAATTGTGATTTGTCGGGAAAACAATGCAATTGGAGATACTCATACTCAACAGATTAAGTCTGTAAGTCAGATGTTGAAGGATAATATCCTACATCTTTTCTTTTTGTGCTTCTTAGTGATCATAAGTTAAATGGAGGGGCCCAATATCAGCTTTTCTAACTAGGGTTTACCAGTGTTTGGATCTCACCCTTAGAGACACTGGGAAATATTAAAGAGCATTTTCCTCTGATGACTGCATTCAAAGCACAGGCATACATCTTGAGGATACACATTCTCAGATTCTAAGCCTCACAAGAGATAGAGCAAAGATTCAGATCTCAGAAATGAGTGAGCGAATTTTCTAAGAAAATAGAAGATAGGAACTTAGAATATTAGTCCTGAGATTTGCAAGAGACAGACTCGTTCTACAATTTTAAGCCAAATTTGAAGCAAGTTTAATTAAATACTGGCCAGGATAATAAACTCTGGCCAGGTTATTCCTGGTTCCCAAGAAATGGCCTCAACTCATGTTTTGAAGAGGCTTAAAAAGTGTAAACCCACAGGGCCACACATTCCCCATCAGGGTCAATCAAGGACAAGCATATATCCTGATGTATTTACTCCCTGTCTGTGTCCCACCCAGTTATATCCAATTAGGGCAAGTGTGCATCCTGACATATTTCTTGCTCA